ACCTAAACCTAACCTAAAATCGACCATCTTCGACAAATACATATTTGACGACAAGAACCAAACTCGAATTTTCCTAAACATTATTATAGTTAATAAACACGTCCAATAGTGTACCACTCAGGAATTGTAAAATGACTTATATAATAAATCCCTTTCAATAAATAACTAACCTTCAATGAAGGACAGAACTGACAAGTATTATGGTTAAAAATCATTATGGTTAACAGACACGTCCAATAGCGTACCACTTAGGGAAACATCCCCCCGTTCATTTTAACAACCTGTCGATAAAAGATAAGAATGAGCACCTCTGACAGATGCTTGGGCGTCGAGAGGGAGAGCTGCCCCATTCACAAAAGATCGGGCAAGAAATCACCCGTTGTCCCGGATTCTTCTTCCCTCTTTTCTTTTCTTCCGTAGCCGGGTTACCTTCGTTCCGCATCCACCCCCATTCCACCCCTTCCTCCTCTTTCTTATTCAGGGTCGTACGCGGTTTATATATCCGATAATAACTCCCTCTCTCATCTCTGGCCTCAGGAGCCTCTCTACTACACTACATCTCTCGCAATTATCGTCCTTATCTTCTTGTACCAGTTCTCTCCATCCCTCTGCTCTCCCACTTCTCCTCCGCCACCATACAAAACCCTTGGACGGTATTATCCGACGGTAAGACGTTACAGGTAACGAGGCAAGAATGGAATTTAATTATTCGACGCCGATGAGAGAGGGCTTCGCCTTCGTCGGCGATCGATTAATTAATTAATTACCATTTCCCGATCGATTAATTAATTAATTAATCGGGACCAGTCGGACACGACCACCTTTGTCCCGTTTCACCAAGTTTTTCCCATTAAATCCATGGTAATCCTTGATCTTGGTTGTAACCAGGTGTTTCTCTTCCTCGATCCTTTCTGCGATTTTCCGTTTCTCTTCGACTCGTATGTTTCAGGTTTTAGAATCAACTGGCTGAGGATGAGAAAGTTGATCGAAACGAAGAGCAATTTGTAATTTCTCTTTTTAAAGATCTCTTCTGATAATATTTTCAAAATTCGTTTGTAGTCAGATGCTGCCTCTTCAACCCTTAAACGGGCAATTTCTTTCGACTTTCGTATGGATTAAAGCAGAGTGGGTAGTTTGTGATTTTTCTTTCTTTAGGAATTTCGAAGATCATGATGAATCTTGATCCGTTGTAGTTTAATGCTTCATTTTGTAATTCGATCCATAGATGCGTTTTTTCAACTCGCAGGCGTTTAGAGTGAACGCTGAAACTAACAAAGTGATTGGAACGAGCAATTTGCAACGTTCTCTCTACGAGATTCATTCCGACTCGTGGATTTAGCATTAGCGGACAACTGCATTTAGCAACAATTTATGATTTTCAATGGAAATTTCTTTCAACTCGTAGATGAATTAAAACTGGAACGAATGGATCGAAGATTAAAACAACATTTTTATGGAAATTTTGGAGATTCCTTTTGATTTGTAGATTCAGAGAATCGACACGTTTAATCAGCAGATTAATAATTCGAGAGATCTCTTTCAATTCACAGAATACAGTTAAAATTGCCTAGCGGAATAATCAATTAGTAATTTTCCCCAACTTTCCAAAATTTCTTTCCACGTCTCCGTAAATTTAGAGTCGATCGTCGGAACTTGGCAGAGCGAATTTTTAGAAATTTTACAACCTCGATTCGAGGCTCGAGTGATTTCTTGCCACAACGTACAAACAAAAGCTCCAGAGCTGTGCTCCGTTACACACCACCATTTTCTATCCCATCTTTGCGCGTTAATTTCAATTCCTTGATCCCGGAGGGATCTTTTGGAACACGAGCTCCCCGAGGCACACACTTCCAGACTCTGTGCTAATGCACATCAATTTCTCCGCGACGTTACCAAAGACTTGCGAGCGATTCACAAAGGAGCGTTTCGAGCACGCATTTAAAGAGTGTCCGACCAGCTTTCGAGCCAACTCGACTATGAAATCCTGGCTGAAAAGACAGCTTTCGAAGGGGCTCGCCTCGAAAAGACGATTCGTCTTCTTCGGTCGCGAACGATGTCACCGACGCCTCTTTTTTTTTTTCACCCCCCTCTCCCTCCGCGCGGAAAAATTCAACCGAGTTAACGAGTGACTCTCGCGACGATGAAACGATGAGTCGACGAGAACTCGACGAGGACCCCGGCTCTTTTCAACAGTCGAGAGCGCGAGAGTCGAGAGCCGTCGTAATAAAGTACGACGAACGATATCGATGGAATGGTAAAAGCGCAGTAGTTTCATTAAAAACGAGCCTGTCAAAGTGAGAAAGAAAGAGAGAGAGAGAGAGAGAGAGAGAGAGATTTGTTCACGCTTGAAGAAACTTCGGCGGAGGTTAGAAGAAGAATTCGAGTCTCTCCCGTTTCGAGGATCAAACGAGCAAATTTACCCACCTGCTCTCGGATACGTACGTATTTCACATGCGTGCATTTTATATATTATAATAATTTTAATTTTATTTTCAAGTTAATTATGGTAATCTTAATTGTTTATTTATTTATTACTTATTTTAAAGTTAATTATGATTATCTTAATTGTTGAAACACATAATTTAATTTTATTTCAAAGTTGATTATAATAATTTATTATTATAATAATTATATTATATGTTATAATAATTTTAATTTTAAAGTTAATTATAATAATCTTAATTGTTTATTTATTTATTTAATATTTATTTTAAAGTTAATTACGATCATCTTAATTGTTAAAACACATAATTTAATTTTATTTCAAAGTTGATTATAATAATTTATTATTACAATAATTATATTATATGTTATAATAATTTTAATTTTATTTTAAAGTTAAGCATAATAATCTTAATTGTTTATTTATTTATTATTTATTTTAAAGTTGATTATAATAATTTATTATTATAATAACTATATTATATGTTATAATAATTTTAATTTTATTTTAAAGTCAATTACAATAATTTATTATTCTAATAATTATATTATACATTGTAATAATTTCAATTTTATTTTAAAGTCAATTACAATAATTTATTATTCTAATAATTATATTATACATTGTAATAATTTCAATTTTATTTTAAAGTCAATTAGAATAATTTATTATTCTAATAATTATATTATACATTATAATAATTTTAATTTTATTTTAAAATCAATTGCAATCATTTATCATTATAATAATTATATTATACATTATGATAATTTTAATTTTACTTTAAAGTTAATTGTAATAATTTATTATTACAATATTGTCGCTAATGACTTCGCTGTCCATGCGACATTAAAGAAAAAGAACAGAAGATAGAAGAAGATTACTATAACAATTATATTATATATTATAATAATTTTAATTCTATTTTAAAGTTAATTACGATACAACATAATCCTGTTAAATTAAATTAAATTTACACAATTTAAGAATTTTATAAGATAACCGCGAGAAGTCACGATCTCAAAAAATATCCTCAGATTCGAAACTAAATCCGAGCATCGTTTCGATCATTCGTTGTAAGTGGATCGACGACGACGAAACGATCAGATTAATCGACTGATCGATGAAACGATGCCCCGAGAGAAACGTAGGAGCAGAGAGCAGAGGCTCTAATCATCGGCAGACACCGTAGGCACACGACGATCGCACCAGGATGCACGGATTATAGGGCAATCATGGTCGTTTCAGTACCGTTGCCGGTGGATAATGGAGAGATCCGGCGCGGATCGAACGCGAGAGAGCTCACATGAGAAACTTTCTATAACGGGTTCGAGTCACTCGATCTCTCCGCCGGCTGCCCAGTGTTTATGTAACCACTTACGTGCTCGTTACGTGGCCACAAACCGATATTAAATTCCTACCACAAAAGCATCGTATTTTTGCTCCACTTCTCTCTGTGTTCCTGTTGTGAAAGCATTCAAATCTTCGAAAAATGTCGCCCAGGGAGTGACTGTGTTCTAGCCTTTCGTTTTAGCTTCGAGCCAGTACGATTGGGCCAACGGAAGGAATGTTTTCAACAGCTTTCGCAGAGAAAAACTTTTACTCGATTTGAAGTTTTATTTTGATATACTGAGTAAGTTTACTTTAATATACAATATTGCTTTAGTAACACCGTTTCACTTGAGCCTCGCGAGCGTGTTGCACGAGCATCCTTCGCGAATCGTTGATAAATTTCGAGGAAGGGGGATCTCGTTTCTTCCTTAAAGAGATTATGGTGATTTATATGGAGGAACACGGCGTTCTGTACGCGGTATAATCGCCGAGGGGAGGAAATTAGAAGGGAAACTACACCGAGAAGCAATCACGCCTCTCCAATTCCGAGCGTGTTCTGCTCTATCTTCTGTTCTGGACGTTTCAAGCGTTCACCGAACGAAAATTCGAATTTGAATTTTTCACGATTCGCATATACGCGCGTGTGTCGAGTAGAATCGAAGAAATTTACTGTGCTATATTTGTACTATTTATATCTACTGTAAATATTATACAATATTTAATTTATTATTGTTTATATTATTATTATATTTTATCATTATTATTTATTTATTATTAATTTATTATTTATTTTATATTTTATCATTATTATTTATTTATTATTAATTTATTATTTATTTTATATTTTATCATTATTATTTATTTATTATTAATTTATTATTTATTTTATATTTTATCATTATTATTTATTTATTATTAATTTATTATTTATTTTATATTTTATCATTATTATTTATTTATTATTAATTTATTATTTATTTTATATTTTATGATTATTATTTATTCATTATTAATATTTATTATTTTATCATTATTATTTATTTATTATTAATATTTATCATTATTATAATTTAAAATTATTAAATATTTAATTTATCCTTTGCCTTATGTATATTACAATATCGAGTCACGTTCGTGACGAATTACACGAATTGAAAAAATAAAAACAAATAAACTGTAGCTTTGTAGAATTTAAATTTAAAGTTTAAACCATTTAAATTAATTAAAGTGCAAATTGTACATCTATGTTATACAATCATACATATTATACTATACTAATAATATTATATGTATTATACTATTATATTTATTATTATATTATAATTAATATATTTATTATTATCACGCTAGAGTATATTATTATTATATTATAATAGTTAATGTTTATTTAAGAAGATTAATTAAATATTATTTTATGAATAATACAATTCTATGAACAATATACGAAGTATACTTTCCAATATGATTTTTAACACTGTACACGCCTCCTGTGCACGTGCAAAATGAATAAAAATGTCCCAGCCAACGTAAAATTGCGGAACGGTAACGTGATTTCGTTTTGAAACATCGTCACGATCGCGGCGCACAAGGAAAATCGTCCCAAAGCTACATATATCGATTGCTTATCGATACACGTATCGATCTAACGCTCGAAACTGTTTCGTCAGAAATCGGCTTTCATAAGAGCCGCGGCGATTATGCACCAGTTGCGTCGAACTCTTTTTTCCCCCACCACCGTGTGAAATTGTATCGATTCCTGGCGTGTACGTGCTCGTCGAGAAAGTGAGCGTCCATCAGCGAGACGCGTGTGTTCAAGAAAGCATAAGCGTGTCATTACGCAATCAAAAGTGCTTGGGTAATTTAGCGTGCGTACACGTCGACTCGCGTTCGGTTCAACCTGCCTCTCTCGCACGTTTCACCGAAACAATTTTAACGTTAGCTGCAACCGCTTACACGTACCCGCTCAACGTGAAAACAAAAAAACGTCAAACGAGAAACGAAATTTTCGAGAAGCACTCGAAATTATTTCCTCATTGACTTTCAATTTTTTTCAAAATTGCATAATTATTATTATTATTGTTGTTGTTGTTGTTGTTATTCGTGGAGCACTGTTGAATTATCCTTGAAGATTTTTTGTTTACTGCTTGATTGCTATTTAATCGTATTTTTAATATTGCTCTTATTGTTTATAACGGGACATCTAAATTATAATTAAATATTATTAATATTTAAGTTAAAGATTATAAAAATTGTAATTAAATTATTAATAATAAAATTATCAATTATTAAATTATTAATAATAAAATTATCAATTATTAAATTATTAATAATAAAATTATTAAATTATTAATATTTAAATTATTAATATTTAAATTATTAAATTATTAATATTTAAATTATTAATATTTAAATTATAATTTTCGGAAATTATAATTAAATATTACTATTTATAAGTATTTAAATTATAATTTTCGAAAATTATAGTTAAATATTACTAGTATTTAAATTATAATTTTCCAAAATTACAATTAAATATTACTAGTATTTAAATTATAATTTTCCAAAATTACAATTAAATATTACTA